TTAATTGTCATCGAAATGTCAAAGCAATTAATTTATGCGGAAGTACATTAAATTTAATTGTTTTTTAAAAATTTTTAAAAAACCGCACTTATAACAACTAGAAAGTTTTTTTAATTAGTGGTGTTTTTGTTATTGATTTAATAAAAAACATTTTTAAAACATGCGTAAATGTTGCTACATCGACTATCTTATAGCCTGACTCGCAACGGAGTGCTGCTACATCGACTGACAAATAGCCTGACTTGCAACGGAGTGCTGCTACATCGACTGACAAATAGCCTGACTCGCAACGGAGTGCTGCTACATCGACTGACAAATAGCCTGACTCGCAAGGGAATGCTGCTACATCGACTGACAAATAGCCTGACTCGCAAAGGAGTGCTGCTACAACGACTGACAAATAGCCTGACTCGCAAGAGAGTGCTGCTACATCGACTAAGGGTTTGGTTTGGCCAGGCAGTCTATCAAATAAAAAAAAATTCTTTAAACTTTTTCTGGTCTGGTTTTTTAACGCGCTCTTTAAAACTACAGTTTATGGGAAACTTTTTTTGATTCCATGCAAGAGATATGCAAGAGTATATATATATATATAAACATATTTATATATATATATATATATATATATATATATATATATATATATATATATATATATATATATATATATATATATATATATATATATATGTATATAGATATTTGTATATACATATATATAAATATATATATATATATATATATATATATATATATATATGTATATATATACATATATATATATATATATATACATATATATATATATATATATATATATACATATATATATATACATATATATATATATATTTATATAAATATATATATATATATATATATATATATATATATTTATATATATATATACATATATGTATACATATACATATATATATATATATATATATATATATATATATATATATATGTATATATATATATATATATATATATATATTTATATATATATATATATATATATACATATATATATATATATATATATATATATATATATATATATATATATATATATATATATTTATATATGTATATATATATATATATATATATATATATATATATATATATATATATATTTATATATATATATATATATATATATATATATATATATATATATATATATATATATATATAGAACTTTAAATATGTTTATAGCCAATAAGTAAAAAAATTAGTCAGCAAAATAAACAATAAACGAAATATTTTCTTTTTTTAATTTTACAAAAATTACTATAATTTTAAATTTTAGCACTAGAGGCCTTTCAAAAACTCATTAGTAATACTGTTATTGTTATTATAACAACAAATTATCTTTAAAAAACAAACAAACAGGAAATGATAATTATTTAATAATATCCATAATATCAATTGCTCAATTTCCTTTAGCCAACCAATATAAATAATAATCGTAGTCAGTTATTAGTCATTATAAATATTAAAAGCTGATCAAGCCCAATCCAAATAAAATACAACCTAAGGTCATCAACTTAACAACTAAACATCTGACAACATTTCAAATATCACTTCTTACAAAAGGTCCAAAGTTTTGCCCTACTACTAAAGGTAATATTTTACACATTGATTCTGATATAAAACAATTCACAAGGAAGTTAATACTTTCAGAAAAATTTCATTGAACGGAGAATACATATATAAGCATAATTTAAAAAAGTCAAATTATAATATCCAAACAACTCTACCATATCTTGATGAAATCATTTTAAAAATTGAACAAATTAAACAAATCAAAATGCAGTCAGTTGATAATATTACTTAACAAGAAAGGTTAGCATTAAAAGATCTAAAAGAAATGAAAAATATAGTTATTAAAAAAGCTGACAAGGTAAACCTTTTATTGTAATGGATTCAACTTATTATAATGAAAATTTTGTTCATCAAGACCACCTGCTCTCCGCAAATACTTATGAAAGAATAAACCTAAATCAGACAAAATAGTTTTTAGAGATCTAATAAAAATGATATAAATTCACAAATTTTAAATGGAAATCTAGTAGTTTCAATATAACTCCGAAAATTCTCAAATGTCAAGAAATTATAGACAAAGTAAACGCATCTAATTCACTTTATATCGAAATGAAACCACCTAATGATCTGAAAGGTAGACCAATTATTGCTGGAATTAACTCACCAACATCACATTTAAGCCAGTTCTTACATATAATTTTGTCTCCAATTGTATCAAAACAAAAAACTTTCATTAAAGATGATTAGGATTTCTTAAGAAAGATATCAAGAGCGTTAAATTCGGATAGCTGTATTTTGACTTGTGACATTGTTAATCTATATTCTAGTATTCCACACAATCTAGGTATAGAAGCATTCAAATACTGGATTGAAAAACATAAAAGTTTAATAGATAAAAGATTTACTCCTCAATTTATCATTGAATTAACATATTTTATTTTAAAAAACAACAACTTTCTATTCAACGACCAAATGTTTTGGCAAACTATTGGAACAGCCATACGTACAAATTTTGCTTCAGATTATGCATGCCTAACAATTAGATATTTAGAAGAAACAAGACTTTTTTTTAAGATTTTACCTAAATACTTTTCCAGTAAAAATGTAAATGACATACAGGAACTTTATTTTAGATATATTAATGATGGTTTCTTAATCTGGCCAAAACATTTAGATATCGTTAAGTTTAAAAACTCTTTTACCAAAATAAATAATTCAATCAGTTTTACAATAGTCATAGGCAAAGAATTTATAATAGATGGAAGTACTTATAAAATTATTAATTTCTTAAACATATCTATCGTTCTTGAAAACAACAGAAAAATAAAAACGGATATTTATTATAAAGAAACCAATACTCTCGACTACTTAGACTACAACAGCCATCATCAACATCATATAAAAAAGAACATCCTAAATGGCCTTGCTAAAAGAATAAATATTTTCACATCTGATTACAATAAAGAAAAACAATGTTAAGCAGAATTAAAAACGTGGCTAAAAGAATGCAAACATCCTAAAAATATTATTGAAAAAGCAAATTTCACAACGCGAAACTCCAAGGACCAAGGAGCTTATTCACAACTCTTTCGTAAGTCAAAAATTTGAGTAAGTTTTAGCGTAAGTTGAAAGTTACGCAAAGTTGTATTCACAAAGCAAAAACTTACAATATTCTTAAGTTTTTGCGTAAGTTTATATTTACGCAAAAACTCAAAAAAACGGTATTCACAACATTTTCTTAAAAAAAGCTCAGCAAACTTTACGAAAGAAAAGTTACGTCTGCTATTTTCTGACTTTTTTCTGAAGTTTTTGCGTAACTTTAATTCATCTAATATTAAAAAATGGCGTTTTAAATATTGTAAAAGATTTCAGATTTTTTTGTTACTGCCATTAAGTTATATACTTATATTGCCAATAAATTATATACTTAGATATACTTATATTATACTGCTATACGTAAGTTATTTACTTAAAAAGAACAGCTATAACCTTTTTTTTAACAATAACAACAAATTGATGTTATTGTTAAACAATAGAAGTATAATATATTGACATTGTTGTTATATAAAAAAAGGTTATAGCTATATTATTTAAGAAGTAACTTAACGCATGTTAATATATGGAAAATATATTATTATATTTACCAAAAATATAGAAGTACTACATAAGCTTGTTTTAAGGTGAAAAAAAATATAAATATACATTTTATATAATCGATGTTCACTTTAAATTGAATAACATATAAGAGAGCTAGCTCTCTTATTTGGTATTATATATGTGTAGAGCTCTCTAGAGATCTCTCTTATATAGTATTAGATGGTTCACTCTAGAGCGAACCATCCATTATATAGAATGATAATATGACTATATAAATATAGGGCGCTAATTTACATCTCTACCCCGCTATTTTTATTTTTGATTATGATAGAGTATTTTATCCTGATTAAGAATTGCATAAAAACATATGTCTGAAAATCAATAGATAGTGTTCTAATTCGATGTTGAAGTTTAAAAAAATACACTAAAAAACACTAATATTAGCCATTTTTTGAAAACGTGTTATATCAAAGTTTACATTTAGAAATCATTTATATAGATCATTTATAATCTTCTTTTATTTATGCAACCCGGTTTTTATTGTTGCCAAAATTAAATTATATTTAAATTAAAATAAATTTTTTATGAATTTATTTTTTATTAAATTTTCAAAAATTAATTTAAGATATTGCTTTTTTAATGTGCATAAATCGACTGAAAAATGGATTGGCGCAATTAAATGTACATGTATCAACTTAAAAATCGGGATTGGCGTAATTAAATGTACATAAGGGAAGTGGGGGCATAACCCCCTACGTAACGTTTGAATAAATGTTATATGAAAATAAAAACGAAATGTGTTTTTTTAGCAGTTTATTTAAATAGCCACATCATTAAGATTTAAATCGATGCATTTAAGAAAAAAATTGAACGGGTTTTGAAAATGTTATTACACAAAAATTACACTTAGTAAAAAAAAAACGGTTTTTCCCCCATTGTGAGGCACAACCACACCCTCACAAAAATCGTTGGGGGTTCACTGTTCTAGGTACATTTTCTTTACAATTGTCATAGCTCAGATTATTTGTTGATTTTGTTGCACATTTGTATACTGTGTAGGCATTCTTTGTACATACAATATCAGTTTTCTTATTCGATATACTCTTAGCTTTATTTTAATTCAAAAACTCATTTATAAAAATTAAATAAAAAAATACGAAAGTCATATTGTGCGCCTTTTTTAAAAAATAAAACTTCATATACAGTAACCTACCTGGTATACCTAATCCTATAAGTATGCTTGAGGGGTTAATGAAACAATAAAAAAAAAGTTATTTCATTAAAAAAATTATCTTTAATTTTAATTTTAATTTAACAAATATAATAGTATTTAAAAATGAAATACTTATATGCCAGGTTGGAAGTAAAACCGAAAAACCCACAGCAACTTAAGGGCAATGGTGAACCTTTTGCAAAGCATAAGCCTAAGACACAAGCGCACATCTGAAAAAGGAAGAATCAGAGACAGAACACATCAATAAAAATATATTTTCATAAACTAAAATATAGTTTGCAAATTGACAGAGTTTTCACCATACAAAAACATAGCGCAGTAAAATATACTTTAAAAATTCCTTAAAAAATATAAAAAATCAAATAATTGATTGAAATAAAACCGTTTAGTTAAAAAGTATATAACTTTTTTAAATAAATTATTTGTAAGCATAAAAAGAGCAAATAAATATGTTTAAAGAAAATATGATTTAAATTCAGTTTACAAATCAAACAGCTATCTTATACCCATGGCAATATTTGGATCATGGTCAACATAATTCTATGAAATATAACTCTGGTTGAGGTAAACGGTTTCCTGTAAAGAAATAATATTAAATCATAAATGTAACATTAAATTACAAGCATGTTTAAACGTAATTGTTAAAGTAATCCGTTAAGTTAATGGCTTGTAAAATAAAAATTTTGTTAGATTTTTATTCATCTGCTTCACTGGTTGAAAAACAAGTTAATTTAGCTTTCCATTAATAACCTTATATTTTAAAGCTTATTGTTATATTTAAATTTAATATAATAAAACAAATCAAACAGCAGACAGACTCCAGAACTTATATTTTAGATATTTTTCAAAAATAACATTAAAACAAATAATATCAAAGTAATAAAATTAATCTTACTTTATTCTCTGGTAAGATTCAATATCACGATTTAAATTTTCATCTAAAATCTCATATACATAAGGTTACTGTTAAAGGGAATGAATATGAAAAACATGGAAACAGTAATACTCATTACACAAAAACTTTACTCTATTGAGTTTAAAAATTAAAATATTTAAAATTATATTAAATATTGTAAAATAAAGATTACATATTTGTAAATAAAGATGCTTATTTTATTTAACAATGTTTTTTATCTTCTGGACTAAAAAATGCCTCATTATTTAATGGGATTAAAAAACTTGATGAAGGCATCACTTTTTACTTGGCTTGTTTGTTTTTTTGGTCTTGTCTAACTTTTTGTTCGCCATTGCGGTCTGATGCGCCACGCAATAAATGCACATCCTAATATTGAAAATCTTATTCAGTTGCTGAAGTTGTTGCAGGATTTCTTTTTACAGCTCCTAAAAATTAATTTAAGACTTTTATTTAACTATCTAGCAGAAAAACAAAAAATATTTTTTAACTTAGTTTTAGAAATATATAGAAGTTTTTTATAAAATATTTATTAACAAATTTTATTTATCTATTTATTAAATTTTTATTTATATATAGTTAATAAATAAACTGTATTTATTTATCAACTATTTATTAACAAATAGAAAAGTAATTACTAAATTAGACACAAGTAATTATTAAATTAGAGTATCAAGCCTCTCCAAAAAAAATTTTGTAAAATTTTAATTTACAATATATATATATATATATATATATATATATATATATATATATATATATATATATATATATATATATATATATATATATATATATATATATATATATATATATATATATATATATACTTATATATATATATGCATATATATATATATATATATATATATATATATATATATATATATATATATATATATATATATATATATATATATATATATATATATATATATATATATATATATATATATATATATATATATATATATATATATATATATAAATACTCTTGCATGTCTCTTGCATGGCATCAAAAAAAGTTTCCCATAAACTGTAGTTTTAAAGAGCGCGTTAATAAACCAGACCAGAAAAAGTTTTATAAATGAAATTTTTTTTTTTAATTAATAGACTGCCTGGCCAAACCAAACTCTCAGTCGATGTAGCAGCACTCTCTTGCGAGTCAGGCTATTTGTCAGTCGTTGTAGCAGCACTCCCTTGCAAGTCAGGCTATTTGTCAGTCGATGTAGCAGCACTCGGTTGCGAGTCAGGCTATTTGTCAGTCAATGTAGCAGCACTCCGTTGCGAGTCAAGCTATAAGATAGTCGATGTAGCAACATTTACGCACGTTTTAAAAATGTTTTTTATTAAATCAATAGCAAAAACACCACTAATTAAAAAAAACTTTCTTGTCGTTATAATTGCGGTTTTTTAAAATTTTTTTAAAAAACAATTAAATTTAATGTACTTCCGCATAAATTAATTGCTTTGACATTTCGATGACAATCAAAAACAGCTTAAGAGACTAGGTAATTAAAATTGTAGTCGTTAGAGACTTTTTTTACATTAAAACGCTCTTTCGACTACACTATATGGGTATATATATATATATATATATATATATATATATATATATATATATATATATATATATATATATATATATATATATATATATATATATATATATATATGTATATATATATATATATATATATATACATATATATATATATATATATATATATATATATATATATATATATATATATATATATATATATATATATATATATATATATATATATATATATATATATATATATATATATATATGTATAGATATATATATATATATATTTAAATATATATATATTTTTAAATATATATATATATTTAAATATATATATATTTAAATGTATATATATATTTGAATATATATATATATCTATATATATATATATATATATATATATATATATATATATATATATATATATATATATATATATATATATATATATATATATATATATATATATATATATATATATATATATATATATATATATATATATATATAATATATATACATATATATATACACATTTGATTCATAAAACAATAAAGCAAACCAGAAAGAGTCGTATACTTCAAAAATTTTATAGAATTTGCCTTTAATAAATGCAATATTTATATCTGCAATTCTGCATGAATTAAAACAGCATAAAAGTAAATCTTTTGTATGGGCGACGTAGTAGCAAAATAATATAAATGTAAGGTGCAAGCATGCATAAAAGCGATTTGGTTTGAAGTGCTCCAGAGTTGTGCACTTCTTTATAGCAAATGAATTTAATAAAAATGAATAAACTGCCGAGCGACGGATCAAGGAGTTTTTGTGTGGCTAAAGACTGTGCCCCTTCCGCCTACCCCCCCAAACTGTCATTAGGGCCCCAAAATCTTAAAAACCTACATTCAATAACAAGTGTTATGAGCGCATGTTCAAAAAGTTCATAAGAAATTTTAGAGATTTTAAAATGGCTGCGGATCTTAGCTACATGTTCAAAAAGTTTATAAGGATCATAGCTACATGTTTAAAAAGTCATAAGAAATTTGAGAGATTTTAAAAGGGCTGCGGATCTTAGATTTTTTATATAGCAACTTTTTTTTAATTTTGGTTTTGTAAAAATTGATGCTGTAACTTATTTGTTAAACTTGTGATAAATGGAGTATTTGGACCAAATGTTGTTTGTTGTATTCAAACCTTGCACCTAATTTTTTCATAAATGCAATAACGTCAATAAAACTGTATTAAACCAGCAATATATTTTTCTAAAGTCAAATATATTGTATTAGTAAAAAGCAAATCTCTTTTAATATTAGGTACGCGGAAATCACGATTAACGCAACCGATTGTGCTAAAATTTTGTGGCTCGTTTTTTTAACTTTTTTTTAGGTTAAATTAGGCAAACGTATTTTTGTTAAGTTTTTTTTTTAAATATATATACAGATATATACTTTTTTATAAGAAGAAAGATTATTTTTGATTTTTATATACATTTTATGTATGGTTACCAAATTATTTTGCTTCAAATTTTGCATGAAAACTTAGACGATGTTCTCACTTGAGTTTGTAGTAGAAGGAATGTTGATCCCGATCTATTTATTATTTAAACAAAATTCTACATGTGTTTTACATGTAAATGTCAAATTTAAACGAAAAAAAAAGGGAGCAGGTAGTTTATTTAAGTGTAACACTTTTGGTACCTTATTTCTGTTTTTCTCGGTTATTGCAAACGACGGGGGCAGCTAGGGGGGTCCTTCGCAAAACAATTGTTATTGCGAGAATGTTTATTCTGATTTTTATTATTAAATAATAAAATGGAAAAAATTAATGAAGTTCTGTTGGACTCTGTAACAACTAGTAAGTTATTTTTTTAAATAAAAGTATAATTAATAATTATTTTTAAAACTAAATTATGTTGATAAATTTAAAAATAATTTTTAAATTCTTAACGTTTAAGAATAAAACTTCAGTAAAAGTGTTGCTATTGAATTAATTGTTAACTCAATTGAGTTACAGTTTAGCATACTTTGATCAAAGTATTAATGGACAACTTTATGAAAATACCATACATAAATAAGTGTAATGATCACATACTTTATGTGTTGTTACACTTATTTATCTTTACACTTATTTACTTTACTAACAAAAGCCTTGCTAGCGTTTTTAAAATATATTATCATCATCTTATTATCATTTGAAAAGAAAACCATTTAATTATTGATCACAATAGCCTGTTTAATAGGCTAATATAAGCAATAATTAAAAGATAAAGTATTATTCAATTTATATATTCTATTTATATATTCCAAACTATATATTCTAAAACATATATTCCAAAAAATATATATTCCAATTTATATTTTCCAAAACAAGAAAAAAAAATTCTTAAATTAAGAAAAAAAATCTTAAATTAAGATCAAAAATTTTTATAACAAGAAAAAAAATTCTTATATTAAGATTAAAAATTCTTACACAGCAAAATCCAAGACTCTTGTTTTTAGCAAAAAGAGTCTTAAAACAAGAAAAAAATGACTTGACCGCCACGCAAGAATGTTTTTTCTTGCTTCAAGAATTTTTAATCTTAAAATAAGAAGTTTTTTTCTTGTTTCAAGGACTTTTTTTCTTAATATAAGAATTTTTTTTCTTTTTTTAAGATTTTTTTTCTTAATATAAGATTTTTTTTTCATTTTAAATATTTTAATTTTTAATATAAGAATTTTATTTCTTGTTTTAAGAATTAATTTTAAATTTTTAAGTTTTCAGTTTTATTTTTAAAACAAGAACTTTTTCGCTTGTTTCAAGAAATTATATTTTTAAAATTATGTTTTTTTTTCTTGTTTCAAGAACTTATATTCCTTTAAAAAAATCATTTTTTACTTGTTTCAATGTTATTTTTATTTAAAATAAGATTCTTTTTTTTTTCAATAATACTTATCCTGAACTATAAAACAATATTACAAAAGTACTTTTTCTATGGAAAAACTGAAACATTCTTTTGAAATTATGATGATATATAATAAGAATATTCAACAAGCATTTATACATTTAAACAACAAATCTAATCGTTGAAATAAGAAATTATCCTTTGGAATGTTTTATTATTGTTCATGCTTGTAGCGGCAATACTCCTTTATGCCCATGACAAGTGTATTCCAATAAGTTCCATCACGAAGTCAGAAAATGAAAAACTTCATTAAATAATCTTTTGCCACACATAATAATCACTTCGTCTCCATCGTCTGTTACGTAAAGATAAGTATTTTTTATACCTGAAAATAAATTTTACAAACTCAAATTTTAACAATAATATCTTTTCATATCTTAAAATGCCCTTAATTTATAACTCGTTTTAGTTTTACTAATTTTGAGAGTTGTGTATGCATGCATACCTACCTGTATTTGGGTGGCAGTGGGCGAGGAACTGTCAACTTGTGTACTCCATAATGCAAAAGTGCATCAATGTCTTCATCCTTGCCGAGTCAACTGTGACAGAAGACTTTAAAACATGAACTATGTCGCCAACAATCTGAATTAAATAATAATAATAAAAAAGCATAAAACTATATAAAGCTAAGAAAACTTATAGAATAACACATTAGATGACAGAGCAGTTTTGTAAATACCTTCTCATACAAAAAAAGATTTGTAGATTTCAAACACTATTTTGTTTTATCCAAAAAATATATGAAATCACAATTGAAAAAAAAAAAATTTTACCAATAGCACATTAGGGAAACATTAATACTTCTCTAGAAATGCTGCAACTCTGTCAACTCTCTCAATTGGAAATTTATTTATCTAGGTTATTAAATTAAAATTCTATACTTAGTTCAATTAAAATGCAGCAGAACAAAGTTCTAGTTCATTTTAACTGATCATGTTATAAAAATAAGGATAAAAAATGTAAAAAATTAAAATTAATTAATAATACTACAATTACTATTTGAAAAGTATTGTTTTCTTTACTTTACTTTGCATGTAATTGGAAACTTGCAATTGCTTAAAAGAAAACACACACATATATGTCATATATGTGTATGTATGCAACATAAACATGGATATTTAGAAATAATACTAATACTAATCTTAAGTAAAAACAAATTGAATAATAATAGCAATAACAATATTAAAACAATTATAATGAGGTAACTAATGTTAACAATTATATTTATATTAATATAATAATAACAACAATAATAGTAACAATAATATTGATAAATATTAAATTTAATACTAAACAATAACAATAAGTAATAGTGATATAAATATAAGTAAAATAATTTTGATTTTACATTTATGTTACATATATTCATACCAAGAGCAATAATAATGACCCACAATGAGTCCAACACTTTACGAACAGTAAATATATTTCTCCAAAATAAAAAGACATAAAAATGAGTTTTAGTAGTAAAGTTTAGTGATATAAAGTGAATATAAAAAATAAATTATTCTATGAATAAAAAAATGATAAATTTTTCTATGATTTTATGCATTGGTTTGTGATGAGATTTAGTATGCTGTACTTAACTGAACAATGATTTAGAATATATAACTTAAAATTGCTAAAAGAGGAAGATAATTTTGAGAATATTTTATAGGAGTAAAGAAATTACAGATTGGAAAAGGTAGGGTGACTTGTGTGTGATTTCAGACAAATAGACAATTTAATAGATGAACAAGAGCACACAATTTGATTTTAAATAGAAAGAAAAGAATATTAGAATTAGAGTAATATTCTTGAATGTAAATTAACTTAAATATCTTGTTTTTAGATTAGATATTTATAAAATATTATTGGTTCATAAATTATAAGTATATATAATATATCATATAAGAGTGTTTGTAGTATGTTTGAGAAATAAAATTTATAATAATAGGTACGTAGACTGATTTTTTTAAATTGATCTAATACTAGAATGCTATATATCATTGGAAAGCCCTCAAATACAGTGTTTTAAAGGTGAAAAAATGATGAAAATTAGACAATTCCATAAAAAAACCTAACGTTTTTAGTAGCAATTTTTCAATATATAGATTTCTTGATTAAGCTGTGGTCAAAAAAAAATTTTTTCTACATAAATTATTATAAATTTGACAATTCTTATTTAACTATCTATAACTTAGTATCAAAAAATAGATGTAAAAATTCGGCTATAATTTCAAACTAGTGTCTAGGTAAAGGGCGCATGGAGGGATACAGAGGTGTGCTAATCCGCCACCTACACCTCACAAAAATACATTTTTTTTTTCTTTATATAGTCTTTTTTTTATAAAATTAGTAATATTTAAATACAACAAGTTGCTATTTATTCCACATCACTAGCAAATATTACAGGTTTATCTTAAAGTTAGGTATTTGGTTTTGGGGAAGGTTTAACACACCCTATTAAAATTTCATTATTTTAATTATTACAGTTTTTACTAAAATGATTAAATCTATTATAAAAACAAAAAAATATATTTCAACACTATAACAAAGAGTAACTAATAGTGTATAGATTGCTTTGATGGAAGAGGACGTATATTGCCCCCCCTCCCTCCTCTACCATAAACCTGAAAAAAAAAATTTATGAAAATTTCACAAAAAAATGTTAAAATGCTTTTTTAGAAAACATAGAGAAATTAGTATCAAAAAATATTTTAACACATTACAAAATGCATTAGAGTAACCATTTTGTCAAGAAAAAAGACGGATTACACACTCCAACCTAAAAAAAAAATACACAAAAACAACAAGCCTTTTGAAATAAAAATGTGTATTATAGTATGTATAAATTGCTTTTATGCACCCCCTTTCATAAAAGCAATTTATACACCTAGAGGTGTATAATTTGATTTTATGAAAAGAGGAGCAATTCATCCCCCTGTCTGTCGAAACCAAATAAAAAAATTTTAATTACAATTTAACAAAGAAGTTCTAAAATGTTTTTTTAAACAAAAAGAAATTTGAATAAAAAACTTTTTTACCACATTACAAGATGCATCTGAGTACACATTATCATGTAAAGGAACAGATTAACCACTCCAACCTGAGAAAAAAACACACACAAAAAAAAAGTTTTTTGAAATTTAAAATGTAACTATTTCTTGTCTGGGCTTCTAGTAAATAATTTAATTTTTAAATTACATTAACAAAACAAAATAAATAATTTTTAACAATATACACCACATAAAGGTAAGCCAGAGCCAATTATAAACTTGCAAGCCTTAAAACTTGTGGTACCTATTTGCAAGCCACAAAACTTACTGTACCTTATTTGCAAGCAACAAAACTTGCGATACTTATTTTGCAAGTCACAAAATTTGCAGTACCTCTTAGCTAGCCAAAAAAGCCACAAAACTTCCAATACCTATTTGTAAGCTAAAAAACTTGCTGTACTATATTTGCAAGCCAAAAAACTTGTGGTACCTCTTTGCAAGCCACTAAACTTGCTGTACTTTATATGCAAGAAACAAAACTTGTGGTACTTAATTGCAAAATCAAAAAACTTGTTGTACTTGTTTTCAAGCCACAAAAATTGCAAAACCTATTTGCAAGCTATAAAACTTGTGGCAGTTATTTTGGTAGTAACAAAACTTGCTATACTGTGAGCATTTTTACATTAATTTCATATTCCAATTAAGAAAATTCAAACTTCCCTGATATAACAACAGCAACTAGCTGGAGTTTTTTATCTTTTGACAGTTCAATATCAGTTCCATCTTGTTTCCAATAAGAAATAGTGTAAATTCTGCCTTGTTATTTCTTGTTTACTTTTTTCAACTCTACCATCATAAATGGCAAAATGAAAACTTAAACAGAAAATTAACAATGAAATACAAAAAAAAAACTATTTACAAACAACAAACTAACACTTGGAATATTGCTACAAAGTTAAAGTAGTAAACAATAAATTAATACTTATTACTAATTTTTTATTAATTTGAAATTTATAATTCAAAATTATTAATATAAAATAATATTGATAGTACAAAAGATAAAAATGTTATTGAATATTATTAGTTAATAACAATTTTATCTTTTATACTATTAATATTGCTTTAACATTATTAAAACACTTTAAAAACATTAACTTAATATCAAGTTTATGTTCTTAAAGTAATTAAAAAAAAAATATAACTGTTATTGACTATTAACATTAATTTATTGTATACTAAAGTATACAATAAATTAAAATAAAAATCAAAATTCAGATTAAAATCAAAAATAAAGTATACTTTATTTTTGATTTTATTAATTAACATATTTAGATAATGGAATATATAAATTGAATAATACTTTATCTTTTAATTATTGCTTATATTAGCCTATTAAACAGGCTATTGTGATCAATAATTAAATGGTTTTCTTTTCAAATGATAATAAGATGATGATAATATATTTTAAAAACACTAGCAAGGCTTTTGTTAGTAAAGTAAATAAGTGTAAAGATAAATAAGTGTAACATCACATAAAGTATGTGATCATTACACTTATTTATGTATGGTATTTTTATAAAGTTGTCCATTAATACTTTGATCAAAGTATGCTAAACTGTAACTCAATTGAGTTAACAATTAATTCAATAGCAACACTTTTACTGAAGTTTTGTTCTTAAACGTTAAGAATTTAAAAATTATTTTTAAATTTATCAACATAATTTAGTTTTAAAA